GAAATTAGTTTTGGAGAATTCGTAAAACGATAGATTGACTAACACTTAGAGTTTATTTATACTTTCATTAAGTATAACATAAGATTTTGTGGTATCCACTTGTGTAAATATTTTAAATTGAAGATCGAATTCATTCATTGTATTCATATAGGGTCAAGGAGTGTAGTTATAAAAAATCATCAAAATCGGAGTTAAAATAACCGTTAAATCGTGATTTTTCGTTTATAACCGTTGAAAAGCTTTGTCTCGTTACTTGATCTCTGAATGTTTTTTTTTTGTGATTTTTTTCTGATGTGATCTCCAAGCATATACAAACAATTTTGACGATTTGGATCGTTGAAATTAGTTTTGGAGAATTCGTAAAACGATAGATTGACTAACACTTAGAGTTTATTTATACTTTCATTAAGTATAACATAAGATTTTGTGGTATCCACTTGTGTAAATATTTTAAATTTAAGATCGAATTCATTCATTGTATTCATATAGGGTCAAGGAGTGTAGTTATAAAAAATCATCAAAATCGGAGTTAAAATAACCGTTAAATCGTGATTTTTCGTTTATAACCGTTGAAAAGCTTTGTCCCGTTACTTGATCTCTGAATGTTTATTTTTTATGATTTTTTGCTGATGTGATCTCAAATCATATACAAACAAGTTTGACGGTTGGGATCGTTGAAATTAGTTTTGGAGAATTCGTAGCCATCAATCAAGTTCCGTGTGTGTGTGTGTGTGTGTATAACTATATATATATATTTATTAAGTAGATTTAAATCTATTTATTTTGTACGTATAAATTATAATTGACTGGTACACGGAATAGTACATACATCACGTGTCACGTGTGTCATTATAAAAATAGTGAGATATGTCATGACAATTATGTGTGTGATAAAAAGTTAATAACTTAAAAAAAAAAAAAAATTTCGCATCACTTCTATTAATTTTCATTTTTCCCTCTCTTTTTTGTTTCCTTTTCAACTTTGTCTTATCATTTTCACTTTTCCCTCCAACATCTTTCCCTAATTCCCTCACTTTTTTGTTTTATTTTCAACTTTTCTTAACATTTTCATTTTCCCTCCATTTTTTTTTTCAAAAAGGACGGCAAGTTGGCAATGACAAGAAATTGATTATTGAAATTTGAATGGAAACAAATCACGTCAAATTTCAATGGATGCAAAATCATGCAATGCATCATGCATATTAAATTATTAATTAATAATTATTATAGTTTTTATAAAATTTAATATATATATATATATATATATAATTATTATAGATAGACTTAATATTTTGGGGGTATAATTATTATAGTATATATAATTATTATAATTATTATAAATTTTATAGTTAATTTAAAATTTTTAGGGGTATAAAATTGTAAAATTAATGTATATAATTATTACAGTATTTTTTTAGGGTTATAAAATTATAAAAATAATATTCTGCTTATCGTGTATCGTGTTACCCACGTGTATACTCGAACCAACCCGTTATCTTAACAGGTGCTTATCGGGTTACCCGATAACGACCCGATTCGTTATCGTGTCGACCCAAACACTTGTTAATTTCGTGTCGTGTCGTGTCGGGTTATCGGGTCGTGTCAGAAATTGCCAGGTCTACTTTCAAGTACATTAACAATATTGTACTAATGAATCCTAGCTATTTAGTTTAATATATTGAAATTGAAATAGTTTGTCATACTAATTAATATTTAAGATAAAGTTTATAAATATTTTTCTCTTAAAAATAAAGTATATTTAGTAATTCATCTTTATTTGTTGGGAAAATTAAATTAATAGCACATCTAGTATTATACCCCTTTTGGTCATTTCACATAGTCATTGCTATTTTACATAAAAGTTTACCAAACACTATCATACTGTTCTTTTTTTTTTTTTTTTTTTTTTTTTTCAAAATCACTTTTACAAAAAAACACTTTGTTGCTTTATTTCACAGCACAGTAGAAACAATTTTTTTTTTCAAAGCACAACAATACCAAACCAGCCCTACATCTCTTTTTACTGTTTTATTTCAACAACCTCTCTCTCTCTCTCTCTCTCTCTCTCTCTCTCTCTTGTTGTTCGCTCAAAAAAAGACTTTTAAGGTACTACTTTGGTACTGAGATGATTTGTAATTTGGGTATTCATACATGGCGATTTGTTGTCAATTTCTGTAATTGTTCCGTCGTTCTTATTTCAGTTCACTTAATTTTTATACAGCTCAAAAAAGTGCGGGCAGAGATTGGAGAACTCTCTAAGCATCTGGGGTTGATCATCAGGAGATTGTATCCATTGCAGAACCTCTTCTCTCTGGCCTACCGAGAGTGCTATGAGGAGCCACCATCCAAATATGTCGGAGGAGAGTTCCGTTATCAAGCTGATACACCGGTTCGTATTTTTGTCCATTCAAAAGTTGTTTCTCCTTTCCTTCGTTTTCTCCTCATTGTCTGATACAAAAATATAGGAAATTTTCATGTAAATTATTTAATTTTGTTACTAACATGCTAACTGCTATACTCCTCATCGTCCAGGAAACACCCGTAGCCCTTGCTTTTGAGAGGATGCCTTCTGCTGGGTTCCGAGCTATTCGCCGTTGGCAATTGTCGAAATAAAATTTTGAAAGGATTAATTTGATCCAAATTACATATACCAGGATTTGTTTTGGCAAATATTATTTCTTTTCTAAGCTGTTTTGGTGTACAGGGGGTTCTGCACCCTCCAAAAAGCAACCTAACAACAAGAACAAAACTTCTCGTCGTTTTTTTCAAGGGATGTGCGGTTTTTTTTTTTTTTCTTTTTTCATGACACATAAATCAAGCTTCTCGTCGCTTTTATTTCAAATAAGTGAACACGTTATATTTTTTTATGAGTTATTTAATTTGGACTTTTTCTTTGGTGTTTATGATCGGAAAGAATTAGATAACTCATAGAATTTACGGTAGACCTAGGTCCTAAGATAGAGATAAATGTTGTGAAATTTAGTCTTAGGGAGAGAAGTTTTTTCTTTTTGCATGTAAAGTTTTGTTGGATCAAAACGTTTATATATAGAGAGAGATGTTTGTAACCTCATAACAACACACAAGATCAAGAGTGAAAGTAATAATATCAATATTCCTCCTCTCTTTGCCTGCATCCGTTCAATTTCTATTTCTAACAAAAGTTATTTCTCTCTTATTTATCCCTATTATAACAATAAAGTGCTGATAAAAAAATAAATAAATAAATAAAGTGATTTTTCACCATACCAATATTAGAGGAATCTGCGCTACAACTTGATGAAAACACTAATGTGGAGTGCGCAAAAGCACTCTGTGTACGACGTCGTTTGCTTATTAACAAAACACAGTTTAACCAGTGCAAACCAGTCCACTGCTCTTTCTAACGGTAACATTCGAATACCAAACAAACACTCACCACCACCGCTACCGCCACCACCTGAGACTCCTCCGCCTCACTAAACCCACGCCCTCAACCACCACGTGCCGCCACTATGCCACAAAGTACACCGCCAAAATAACCTCAACCTCCCCAACCGGCCTTTCCCTCTCGGCCGAGGTAACCCCGCCGCCGCCCCTCCCCACCGACATCCGTGGCTACGCTCTCCCGCGGCGCGACCTCGTCTGCAAAGCCACCCAAATCCTCCTCGGCCGCCAATCCCCTTCCGCCATGTTATCAGACCCCTTCTCGGACCTCTCTGGCTACCTCACCTCCCTCTCCCTCCACATCACCCCGTCCGAAGCCACCGAAATCCTGAAATCGGTAACCTGCCCCCCGACCTCTCCGGCAGATTCTTCCGATTTTGCCCCTCGCTCTCCCCTAATTTCCACCACGACGCCTTCACCTGCAACCGAATCCTCCTCATCCTCTCTCCAAGTCCACCTCCCCCGCCCGGTTCGACCTAGTCCGGTCGATCCTCCGCGACATGGACCGCTCCAGCATACGTGGCAACATCTCCACCGTCAACATCCTCATCGGCCTGTTCGGCAGCACCGAAGACTTGGAAACCTCTATTGGGTTGGTGAAGAAATGGAATCTCAACATGAACAGCTACACTTACAAGTGCTTGCTTCAGGCCTTCCTGCGCTCTCGCGATTCCGGCAAAGCTTTCGATACTTACATCGACATGCGTCGGCGGGGTAACAAGCTCGACATTTTTGCCTACAACATGCTTCTGGATGCGTTGGCGAAAGACGAAAAGGTTTGAATTTTGATTGAATTGAATGCAATGTGACATTGTGGTTGCGCTCACATGTTCGATTTCGATGTGGGTTTTTGTGGGTTTCTGATTTTCTGATTTGCAGCAGAAATTTGGCAGGTTGAGGATGCACGCAAGGTGTTTGATGATATGAAGAAGAAGCATTGCGAGCCACGTACACGATTATGATCAGAATGGTTGGGAAATTGGGTAAGGGCGATGAGTGTCTCGGGTTGTTTCAGGAGATTGTGAACAAGGGTTGCTCTCCGAATATGATGCTGTATAATACTATGATTCAGGCTCTTGCTCGGAGCAAGATGGTTGACAAGGCCATCATTGTGTTCTTGAAAATGGTACAGAACAATTGCCGGCCTAATGAATTTACGTAGAGTGTGGTTTTGAATCTTTTGGTTGCAGAAGGGCAGCTGGGTAGGTTTGATGAGGTGGTGGGGATGTCGAAGAAGTACATGACGAAGTCGATATATGCATATCTTGTGAGGACATTGAGTAAATTGGGTCATGCCGGGGAAGCTCACAGTTTGTTCTGCAACATGTGGAGCTTCCATGACATGGGGGATCGGGATGCATATACTTCAATGTTGGGGAGTTTATGCAGTGCATGTCTTGTATTTCAGATTTGATGTCTCAATGTCTATCAGAATTGAACTTTACGTGGACAATGAACTTGTATCGTTGCCTTCCGTAGTCCTCTTATTTCAGAAGCCGTCTCAATTTTAAACGAACTCTCTGAAATTCAACTCGTGTCTCCACGATGCTTTGGCTGCAAAGAAAACAACGGCTCACTTCATAAGACAACTCAAATATTACCTGAGTTCGCAAATAAATCCAGTCAAAGTCTAGTACAAAATGTCGACTGGAAGCAAGGAAGGATCAGAAACAAATCGAATAGCTCCGGATGTTTTCTCACACCACAAAATCTACAAAATTCTTCTACCACTCATCGTCTATCACAAGCTACACTTGAAATGCCATACGAGTGGATCTCAATAAGTTATTGCAGTAAACCATACTTTTAAGTTCCAAACAAAACTGCGCAGAAAGCCAAGCTCGGAGTACCTGATCAACGCTTGACCCACTGGAAGCTCTTCCTTGCTTTTGCTTTTCCGGGTTTTTTCCTTTCCACCACACGCGAGTCCCTTGTCAAGAAACCAGCTGGAAACACAAACAAGTTGCTGGGTTAGCAAGGAAGGGGCAGATAGATATTGCCAGGTTAAGATCTGTTTCCCCTTATAAGCCAGAAATAACCAGCGGACAAAGGGGAAGAGAAATATTTACATTCTTTGAGAGCAGGACGCAAGTCCGGTTCCCAATTTTGCAAGGCTCTGCTCACTCCTAATTGAATTGCTCGAACTTGACCTGGAAAAAAACACCTTTTTAATTTTCCATATTTAACACAAACAAAAACGTTTATGCAAAGAATTAACATACCGAACATATTAAACATTGTTCTTTAAAAAGGAGTTACTGTTGGGAGTAACAATTTGCACACAGAGTATTTTTGTACTCAACTACAATATAGGAAGAAGAGCCAGCATCAAAAAGCACGAAACAATCTTTAGAAATTACAATCAATTTGTATTTAATTCTGTCGAGATGTTGGCTCCTATTTTCTTATCTTTTCCTCTGCTCTGTTTCAGTTTAATTACTTGATGTGAAATGAAAATCTAACCACAATTAATTCACCCTAACAACCTAGGAAGAAAAGGACACTCGCATTCATTTGACTTCATGAGAGCAGGGGAAGAAAAGCTTTACTAACATATGGAACTGGACAGAAATTTGTTTTCCATGAGAGCTTGGCAGTGCGGGTAGTAAGTAGCGAGGCAAATTTGTGGTTTTCTGGCATATAAAGCTATAGAATTGCAAGTTCAAGGATAACGGAGGGAAACAGCAGTTGAATTGGATCTCAAACAAGCCAATGTCAAGGTAAAAGGTCAACATATAAATCAAAATAAAGTGCGTAGCAACAAACTTAGGCTTACCTGTGGTGCCTCCTCCTTGAACAGTACAAGCGATGTCCCAAAGGCCCAACGTTTTTGTCTCAGAGAAAGGTCGGAGGAGAGCAGCACGATGATCAAGCATTGGAAAATAGGCGTCAAATTGTTCATCATTAATTGTGAATTTACCATTACCAGGATGAATCCAGACACGTGCTACACTACATTTCCTTCTTCCTGTTCCATAAGCTCTCCCCTTGTCGTCTACTGTTCTCACTCTTGCTTTGGCAACTTCCTCCTGTTTCTGGCGCTCTATTTCAGCTCTCGAGGATTTTCTGGTATTTTTCTCATAACGAATGTCTTCAAGCTCTGATAGAGGGGGCAATCCCTTTATCCCTTGAAAATCCTTCAATGAAATCAAAGTGTCAAGCATTCCATCTGTGATTCCAGATGCACCAATAAAGTCACCAAAGGTACGATTCCGACCTGCAGTTACCATACTGAATCAGTCTAACACCTAAAGAGTCACCTAGCTGATAAATGAATCAGCAACTGCATTCAACTGCATTCAAAACAAAGTACTATTTGAACTATAAAAGTTCGAGAAAGCCGAAGAAATAATCTTATCCCATGTAGAGTGCTTGCAGCTAAACCTAACAAGATACCTGATCATTTTAACTCCTCCCACTAATCAATAAGTAGTGTAGTTCCCAAAATCAAAAGCACAACAATAGACACACCAATATTTTAATGAACTTGCAGACCTCCCAACAACGAAACATACAATTGGTCGGTGCCCAAATCAACCCAAAAGGATTTAGTACTGTACAAGTTGTTCCACTAAGCTATACATCTTCCTACTCTTAAGCATATCAATGTTATCCAGAATTCAACCAGGTTCGACGCAAATTCAACCAGGTTCGACGCAAATCAGTTTTCAGAGAAAAAAGAAAGAAAAAAAAAAAAGAAAAAATAGACGAGGGAGGAAAGTAATGAAAAAGGGAGGATGAGAGTCATGATATTCACTGATGGCTACGGTGGAGTTCGCCGGGAAGGTGGTGTGTGGCGATGCCGTTGCACCCTCTCGGTGCTTGCTGAGGAAGAAGGAAGAGAGAGATGCGGGAGAGATCGAGTGAAGAGAGAGAATGAGGTAGGATGAGGTGGCAGCCACAGAATAGTGTGAGGGAGATCTGATAAAAAGGTGAGAGAGAGTCCCGAGAGGTAGGGAGAAAAGGGGGAGAGGTGGAGGAATGGGGCGTGGACCCCATTGGCTCACGTAACAAAGCCACAAAAGAAAAACAGAAAAATATCTCTTATAACGTGAATTCACGCTTCGAAATTTGAAAAATCTTCGTTGTAATTGTGAATTCAGTTATGTTTGCATCTATGCGTTTGTATCGTCGAGTAGTTCAAAGATACGCTAAAAAAGATATTTTGTATGTCTCATTAATCTCACATTTAGGGCATTTTCATTAAATTATTCTTTTAAAATTTATAAAATTGTAAAATTAGAACGGACTGTCACACTAATTCTTTTAGTTAATTTAACTTGATTTTATTGTAAAATTTTTTTTTGTGAACATTATTACCCAAAAAAGTTCAAAATTCTCGAAGCCTTTTTTTTTTTTTCTTTAGAACTACAATAGCTTCATTATTGGCTATATCATGCTTATGTCTTAGTTTGTATTATAGCTCATGTCATGACCTATTATTTCTGATCAGAATTAGACTTCGACTCTTTGCAATCATTGGTCAACTAGATGAGTTATTAATTAAAAGTCGTTTTATAATTATTTCGTTTTTAATTTTTAATTTTTAATTTTTAGTTTTCACTTTTCTGTTTTGAAATTAGTCAAAATAATATTTGAAATTGGTATAACTCCTCATTTTATTCTTAAGATCTGAAATTGTTAGAAGTGATTCCTGAATTTCTTAACCATCAATCATTTTGATTATTCCATTAAAAATATTCATTAAATAAGAAACAGATAACAAAAATAATCTTAATTTAATAAACAATAGACTATAATAATTTGATAAAAATTAAGTGTAATTTTGTTTTTTCATGAAATAATCAAAATAATTTATGAGGGAAAAAAATCAGAAATCTCACTTTGAGTGAGGAGTTGCATAACAATTTCAGGAATCAGCTAAAAAGTCAAATAAATATAAACAAAAGAAGAAACGAAACTTCCGACGCGGTGGGCTGCGACTTTGACCGATTGCGAGTCCTCCGTCCGCAGCTCCTCCGTCTTCCTCCCAAACCTTTTACCTTTCTTTCTTCTCCAAAACAAGCAAGCTGAGATTTAAACCTCTCTCTCTAAGAAGCAGCGGCATGCTTTTCCAAAGGCAATCTGCAATTTAATCAAACAGCCACCGAATTTTCTGGAATCCGGTCAACGTAGAGATGCTTCGGATTTTGATCGGTCAGCGCCAGCTGCTTACCTGAGCTCCAACAGACCCAACAGTGATGACGTCCTCCACCTCTGTTTCTGTTTGGCTGATTCTGCTGTTTGGCTTCTTTCACCTCCACAAGCTTGCTGCCAATGTCGAAGGTATGTCTCTGTGTGTCATTGAATTTGGGAGTGTTTGGTTGTGGGAACCGGAATGAACTAATGAATGAATGAATGACTGGAAACATTCCCGAAGAGCTTGGGCGTTTGTCAGACTTGGTGAGCTTGGATCTTTACTTGGCAACCTTGCAAAACTGCGTGAAAAGTCCCGTGAGTTTCGTACACTTTCATCTCAGTAAGAGGGAGGAGAGAGTGAAAAGTTACTAATTTCTCTGCCATCGGAGAATGCAAATAACATATAGTTTTGCCATGGAATGCAGGGATCTTTCAAATAACAATCTGACAGGGGATATTCCAGTCAATGGATCTTTTTCAATTTTTACTCCCATCAGGTTTGTTGAAGCAACTTTACTCTTTTTCTTTACCTTTAGGGACAAAAATAACAATCTGCCAGGGGATACACTTTCATCTCAGTAAGAGGGAGGAGAGGGTAATATAGCTTGATCAAGTTGGTGTTGTAGTTGTTGTATGGGATGCAGGTTTCACTCATCTACTGTCTTTGCAGCTGAGGAGGATCGACAAGTTCATTTCCGACAGCTCAAAACGTTTTCTTTGAGCGAGCTACAAGTTGCGACGGATACCTTCAGCAACAAAAATATTATTGGTAGAGGTGGATTTGGTAAGGTTTATAAAGGATGCTTAGTTGATGGAACTCTGGTTGCTGTAAAAAGACTTACAGAGGAGAGAACCCAAGACGGGGAACTACAGTTCCAAACAGAAGTTCAAATGATTAGCATGGGTGTCCACCACCGCAATCTGCTTTGTCTGCATGGTTTTTGCATGACATCAACAGAAAGGCTGCTTGTATATCCTTATATGGCTAATGGAAGTTTGGCATCTTGTTTAAGAGGTACTCATCTAAATTGTTTGCTGCGTTGATGAATCTTTTTGTTTTCACGACGTTAAAATTTTTTTCGATCACATTGATATAATGAATTTAAAAACCTGACCAATTTGGCTTGGAGTATCAACACTGATTTTTTTTAGTGTTTTTTTTTTCCTTCAATTTTAAGTTACCTTCTCGATGCTGATTTTATTTCTGTTTAATTTGAAAAGGATGACAAGAAGATCCTTTTTTGGGTAGGACGGGTGGTATGATATGTGTTAGACCACATTACCTGTTACTTGTAATTTGAAATTCTCCTAAGTATGTGGATATATTATTGTAGATCGTCCAGAAGGACAACCTGCACTTGATTGGCCAATAAGACAACGCATTGCATTGGGATCTGCAAGAGGTCTTGCTTATTTACATGATCACCGTGATCCAAAAATTATTCACCGTGATGTGAAAGCTGCAAACATATTGTTGGATGAGGAATTCGAAGCTGTTGTTGGAGATTTTGGGTTGGCTAAACTCCTGGACAACAAGGATGCATATGTTACCACACATGTATGTGGCACAATTGGTCATATGGCACCGGAGCACTTTTCAACTGGAGTGTCTTCCGAGAAAACTGATGTTTTTGGATACGGAGTCCTGCTTCTTGAACTCATCACTGGGCAGAGGGCTTTCAATCCTCAGGTTGCGAGTGATGATGATTTCATGTTAGTTGATTGGGTATGCATTGACGTCTTTCTGTTTGTGTATGTAGCTAGTTTATTGTTATATGCAAGATTATTTCCCAACAACATTTGCATTTCCTTAGTAATTAGCTTTTAGAAAATAAGTTTGGTTTAATTAGCTTTTATTAGTTAGAGTAATGATTAGCTGTGAAGATTTGTTTATCTTTATTTATAACAATCTAAGGTTTAAACTGTCAGAGATTAATTATTGCATTTCCTTAGTAATTGTTACTATTGTTGTTGCTTCTTTTGCCAATGTATTGGCACTATGTGATTTCTTGAAGAATTTGGCATATGTTTTGTGTCGATCCTAATTTCCTCATCATCTCCTTATTCTCGCTATCTTGGCCTCTCGTTTTTTCCCATTCTCTCTATTGCATCTTTGTCTTCTCTTTGCATGATATCAATATTTGAATGACGATACATTTTTGTAAGCAGTTTGATTTTCTGTAGAAAACTGCAGGCCTTCAAATTTTGAACATTACAACACATTTTTTTCTCCTAGGTTCCTGCACCTTTTGTTTCAAATTGTAGAGCCACCCGACATTTTCTGTTTTATTTTTCGTAAAAAAATTAGGTCAAACGACTACTGAAAGATCGGAGGTTGGAAAGACTTGTTGATGCGGATCTAAATGGAAATTATATTGACGATCAAGTGAAGCAGCTGATCCAAGTAGCTCTACTGTGCACACAAGGCTCCCCAGGGGAACGGCCCAAGATGTCAGAGGTTGTCCGAATGCTTGAAGGCAAGAGGCGAAGGTTTACCTGTAAGATGGGAGGAGCGGCAAAAAGAGGAGGTGATCCGCCAAGATTTCAACACTATTCATCATCCAAGCACTTGGATCCTAGACTCACCTTCTCCTAATTTTTTGTTGTACTATTTCTGTGTGTTTGAAGAAATGGATGAAAACAATGACATGTGATCGAGAGTTCATCATATAACTTCTGACTTTAAGGATTTTTAATTTAGTTCTGGTTCATGTTGCGCAAATAATATTAGGTAACACTGCTACTGGGGCTATTGCTGGAGGGGTTGCTGTTGATGCTGCTTTACCGATTGCTGCACCTGCAAGTGCACTTGCTTATTGGCGACCGAGAAAACCACAGGATCATTTCTTTGATGTACCTGGTTAGTGAACTATAGGAGTAATATAGCTTGATAAAGGTGGTGTTGTAGTATGGGATGCAGGTTTCACTAATCTACTGTCTTTGCAGCTGAGGCGGATCCAGAAGTTCTTTTAGGACAGCGCAAAAGGTTTTCTTTGCGCGAACTACAAGTTGCAACGGATACCTTCAGTAACAAAAAATTTATTGGTAGAGGTCGATTTGGTGAGGTTTATAAGGGACGCTTAGCTGATGGAACTCTGGTTGCTGTAAAAAGACTTAAAGAGGAGAGAACCCAAGGTTCGGAGCTACAGTGTCAAGCAGAGGTTGAAATGATTGGCATGGCTGTCCACCGCAATCTGCTTCGTCTGCGTGGTTTTTGCATGACACCAACAGAAAGGCTGCTTGTATATCCTTACTCTTCTAAATCGGTTGCTGCGTTGATGAATCTTTTTGTTCTAATGAAATTAAAAAATGGGTAAATTACATTTTACACCCTCAGGTTTGAATGTAATTGCAACCTCATACATCTTTAAAACATTTCAATCTCATACATTTACTTATCAATTTTAGCAATTTTATACATCCGTTAGTCAAATCGTCAGTTTGATTGTTAAAGGATGACATGGCAAATGTGACGTCAACATTTTTGTTGACATGGATGCCAACTATGATCCACGTGGAATAAAAACAAATAAAAAAGATTAATAAATAGAAAATTAATTAATTTTTTTTATAATTAAAAACTAAAAAAAATAGAAAAGATAAAAAAAAATTGGTGTTGTTCATCCCTTTCCCGCTCTCACCCCGCCCCCGCATTCTTCATTTCCCCCCGGCCCGCGATTCTCCGTCGTTGCCCAACCCTTTTTCTCTCCAGGAACCAGCCACCATTAACCTTCTCCAACTCCCCCTCTCCAACCCAATGAGATTGTTGTTTCCAAAACGAAAATGCTATTAATTTTCAAAACTCACAGTTCAGACAGAGAACGAATTTCAAATTAGAACTACAAGATCGAAGGAACATTTGGAAAAAAATCCTTACATTTTCGAATCCAAATCTCACTTTCATTCTTGACAGACTTTTACCAACCAAAACCTTAACCCCAAACTCGTACAATGTCCGTAACGGCATCCATCGTGATTTCAGATCTCGGTAAACATCTCAATCAATGAAATAGTACGTAAGGTATGAAAGCGAAATTTTTTGAAGATGTTATATGAGGTTGTAATAAACCTTAAACCTGAGGTGGTAAAGTGTAATTTATCCTTAAAATATTGTTTGGATTACATTGATAAAATGAATTTATACATCCGACCAATTTGGTTTGGAGTATCAGTACCGATGTATTTTTCTTCAATTTTAAGTTACCTTCTTGATGTTGATTTTATTTAATGGGTAACAAGATGACTCTTTTTTGGGTGTGATGGGTGGCATGATGTGTTTTAAACCACATTACCTGTTGCTTGTAATTTAAAATTCCACTGTCATAATTATGTCGATAAATTATTGTAGATCGTCTAGAAGGACAACCTGCACTTGATTGGCCAATAAGACAACGCATTGCATTGGAATCTGCAAGAGGCCTCACTTATTTACATGATCATTGTGATCCAAAAATTATTCACCGTGATGTGAAAGCTGCAAACATATTGTTGGATGAGGAATTCAAAGCGGTTGTTGGAGACTTTGGGTTGGCTAAACTCATGGACTACAATGATACACATGTTACCACAACCGTACGCGGCACAATTGGTCATATAGCACCAGAGTACCTTTCAACTGGAAAATGTTCCGAGAAAACTGATGTTTTGGGATATGGAGTCATGCTTCTTGAACTCATCACTGGGCTGAGGGCTTTTGATCTTGCTCGACTTGCGAATAATAATGAAGTCATGTTACTTGATTGGGTTTGCTTTTACGTCTTTCTGTTTCTGTTTGTAGCTAATTTATTGTTATATGCAAGATTATTTTCCAACAACATTTGCATGAGGTCCACCACCTGATTGTATTTTATTGTTCTAAATCTTCCATAATTTCTTTCATATTTTATATATTAAAAAGACATAATGTTGTTGAAATTCAACGATATTCTTGCTTCAATCTATTGTGTCCCTAAGTCCAAATCTTGAAAATTATGTTTCAATACTCATTGTTAAAGAAATGTTATATAATATACTGTAAATTAGGTGTATCTCTCGATACCAATTGCTATTTATTTAAGCCAAAAATAATGGGTCTCCATACTTAATCACTTTATTTCAAACTGCTAATCTCATATGACATTCTTAATCATTGTATATGGAACATTTCT